ATTAAATTTGCGGATTATCTCTGACTAAGGTTTTTCAGCAGCGCCGCGTCGGCAGCGCAATTTTTGAATTTAATTTATTTAATTCGAGTTAATGTACTGCGTCGTTAATATTTCTTGATGTCTTCTAAATTACTCTAAGTTTTCTGGTAGTTTTTTGGAGTCGTTTGGTTTATTTGGTTAAAGGCCATTAAACAAAAAGCTTTAAATAACTTTATCTACAACCGTTTAGTTATAACGTTTTTGCATCACAATTTTTTTAGTATTTCAGTTATGATATGAGATCCAACTAGTGGTGTTATGAATCTATAACACAACTAGTTTTTATAATAATGAAAAACAACTACGAACATCTAAATATATTAATTTTTGATACAAATTCCTACTACTAATTATTATAAATATTAATAACACATTTTTTACACTTCTTCAAAACAATTCCTGCTGTTGATGATGATGACGATGATAACAGTGAAGGTCTAACTGAAATAGATTGGGCTGTTGATCGCTTTGGCTCGCACTCGGGCTGGCATGATTCCTCAGCGATTCTTGATCCCAAGATGTGCTGCGCAACAATTTTCTTGTTTTCTTTTGATGTATCTAACCATCAACCTCCATGCGCCCACAATTATAATTAAAAAAATGTGACAAATGTCATAGTTAAAGGTGGGCGACAAATAAACGAAAATTAAAACAGCATTTTCTTATTTTTCGGTTGTAGATAAAACGTTGTACATGACATGTGCGTTTAAACATGATTACAACACTCGTGTGAGTAGAACGACTCGGTCTACTAGTGTTAGAAGAGCTTCGCAGTACAATTAATACCATCAAAAATAAGTCCTCATTTGGGACCGACGGGCTAACTTTAAAAATGTTTTCGAATCTACCAGAAAGCACTCTGAATCACCTAACTACTTTAATAAACATGTCATTCCAAAATGGAATTTTTCCAAAATGTCTTAAGACGGCAATAGTCATTCCTCTGCATAAAGGTGGAGACAAAGCTCAATCTTCTAACTATCGCCCAATTGCACTCCTTCCAACGCTATTTAAGATCATAGGAAGGTTGGTTAAAAGATGGCTGGTATCTTTTCTGTTTAAGTACAAAATACTTACTGAACATCAATTTGGACTTCTAAGCAACAAGTCCACAAATGACGCTATGTTTTCCCTCCTTAATAAAGTTTACTCCAGCCTAAATAACCATCATTCCACAGCAACAATTTTCTGTGATTTTTCTAAGGCGTTCGACTGTGTAAATCATAAGATCCTAATTAATAAACTGCAGCACTACGGGTTCAGGGGAACATCTAGAATAGTTTAAGTCGTATCTGAGCAACAGAAGTCAACTTGTGAGGGTGGATCCCACCTTGTCTTCTAGCAAGCCAATAGAATGGGGAGTAACTCAAGGCTCAGTACTAGGCACTATTTTGTTTCTTCTTTTTATTAACGACATTGCTAACATAAACATCAGTGGTAAAATATGTCTTTTTGCGGACGACACTAGTTTCACTTGGAGCAACCATGACGTCACGGCACTTCATAAGATTATATCAAATGACTTAAATCTTGGTGCGATTCGAACCTCCTGAGTCTCAACATTTCGTAAACTAAAGCTTTGTCGTATAAAAACTCGCTGCAGCTTTTTGTACTTAACAACACCACAATTGACGTTGTAAAATCTGTTAAATTCTTAGGGCTTGTTGTAGACAATTCTCTGAAATGGGACATGCATATCGACGCTTTGTCGAAAAAATTAAGCTCCGCCTGTTTTGCATAAAGATCTGTTTCTAAGGAGCTTAACTTGTCAGTGGCTAGAACTGTTTATTATGCACTTTTTGAGTCGCACCTCAGATATGCCCTTCCATTCTGGGGTACGTGTTGTGCGACTTAATTTGACTGCATTTTCAAGCTCCAGAAGAGAGCTGTTCAATATTCACTGGGACTAAACAGCAGAACTCATTGCCAGGACTTTTTAAAAAAAATTAAAAATATTAACTCTTCCTTCCTTATTTATATTTGAATCCGTTAGCCTAATACGTAAGCAGGTATCAGCTTCTCAAGGAAGGCCATCTCACACTTATCCACTCAGGAACGCGGAGCAATATCTTTATCTACCTACCCCACGCTCAGAGCTTTATTTATTTCAAATCAATAATGAACGAGAATATTCTAAGAGTATAATTTAATAAAATTATTTGTAATTATTGAGCTGTAATTTCTGTATTACTAATCCGGTAAATGATGGAGATAAACAAATGTGACATTAAATTTTTATTTTAAGATGAAACTTTTGTTAACAACATTCTTCTTTTTTTTTGAGGTGTAAAATACCTTTACGTACGCATTGTGGGACTAAATCTCTCCTTAAGCTGCCTGGAGAACACTACCCACTAAACATCACCCCCTCGCTCCTGCCACGTCTACCTGGACCCGCTGGACGCATCTCCTCAAGTAGACGCCGGACTGTTCCTTTTTTTCATTACCCCTGCTCTTCGCTGTATTTTGCCTCTAGTATATTTTGGGCCAGTTTTGAGATGCCTTCAAAGTTTTCTCTTCTTTCTGTTATCGATTTTAAGAAGGTATCAGCGGAGATGTTGCCACCAATCATCATGCGTGCCTCACATCTTTCCTGTTCCCATCTTGGACAAGCAAACATTGTGTGTTCTGGAGTATCATTGGGTTCAGCACAGTATCGGCATTCCGCGACTTCCCTCTTTCCAATTTTACACAGATTTCTCTCCATCTCTCTGCTTGCCCTGGTTTGTACTTCACCCTTGAGAAAGAGTCGTTCTCTTTCTCTTGAGAGAAGATGCAAGGGCACCAGACTCGATATCACCAAGGCTGCTTCAGTTGAAGTTGTCCGATACGCCGAGCAGACCCTCAAAGCCATGACTCTCTGTGCACCTTCAAGTCTTTTTTTATTTACGTGCATATTGGTTGCTTCGTTCCACACAGGTGCTCCATACATAATAATATTCTGGCACGTATATGCTAACACTCTTCTATTTGCTGGTGTTGGGCCCCGAACGTTTGGCAGTATTGCGGACAACGCTTTAGCAGTTCGTTGTGATTTCAGACACACCTCCTTGATGTGCAGGCCCATCGTGATTGCCCGGTCTATGTGGAATCCAAGATAGTTGACTTGCTTTACTGGATTTATTATTATATTCTTAAAATTAAACCTTATATGGTCATCTTTTCTCTTGCGGCTCAGAAAAATCGCCTCTGTTTTTTCCACAATATTCTGAGAATTAGAATAATTAATTCAATAATGACAAGACAAGACAAGTGACATCTGTCTAAAAAGGACAGCGATTTAGAGTGATAATTTGGTTATGTAAATAAGTAAAATTTAGAGTGACAATTTTGATTATGCAAAAGAAATACATATTATTGTCTAACAATTAAAATAAATTTTAAAATAAATCCCCAACATGAATAATGAACAAAACAGCTGTTGGTTAGTAGCAGTTAGTGGTAGTTAGAGATATAGATGAAGAGAATTATTGTTTTTTAATAAAAATTAAAAAAAATCAAAGCATTTATAAAAATGTCTATATTCTTCAAATCCTTCAATCTAATAGCTGTTAGTAAGAAGTTTCACTTCATATATGTGCACATAGTGCAAACACTTTTTTTCCTTTTGATTTACGGAACCTTAAAAAAGAACAGACAAATCACATATAACAAATCTTATTCTCGTTGGACCAAATCTTCCCAGAGACTAAAAACCCAAACGAGCACTCCGATACACACTTCATTTTCGTTCCCTTCAATTAGAGATAAAAGGGCCAGATATGCACTTCCGCTGTCATCTGTATCGCCGGCAGGGTGTACACTAAGGGCGGCGCCGCAGTATTTTATCGCATTACGAACACTCGCAGCCTGACAGAAGCGCAGTAGGGGCGGCACGGTATAAAGTTAATGGCTAATTGGTAGCTTTATCTAAAAAACAAACGTTGCAAGGGGGGAATAATAATTAAAGCCTGTTTGCTGCTTGGTGCGCTCGGGAGAGATTCGGCATTTCAATCGAAACGTTGAGACATCCAAGATGGAATTCAGATTGAACGGACCTAAAGTTTAAAGCATTTTTTTTAGGAAAAACGATTCATTGAAACACGTGCCTGATTCTGCTTAAATACAGTATCCTGTTAAAAAAACCGTGACCATCCGAAGATTATTTTTACTTAAATCAAGTAAAATGTTTACCTTGTCTCGGTTATAAGGCATGAAAAATTTTTTCGAGTGTCTTACACCGCAAGTTACTACTTGCGGCCATGCATTTCTCTTTGTTGTCTGATATTTAGAAATGTCAAAAGCTGATGACATTTTACTTTTGACAATTATGATATTTCGTGTTGATTTTTGCAAGAACAGGAAGAAGTGTCACTCGTTTTATTATTTTCCTTTTCTATTTCACGAAAGCAAAAAGAGTAACCTAACTGATTCGTTCAGGCACTCAATTTAAAGAATATCAGTAACTTTTTTGACAGAGGTATTTTATATTTGCCATGTTGGTAAAAAATAACGGTTAAAATTCAAAGTTATTCATTCTATAGGCTATAACTATCTGAACCATACGCGGCTAAGAAAATCACTATAATAAACTTGATACTGTAACCAACCTTGATGTTATGAAGTAAATTTTCATGCATATTTTCATCAATAGGTTTGTAGCTTCTGAATAACGGTCTAGGTAAAGCATCTAGCTCATTTGCCAGCTCAGAATTAGAATTTAGAGTTAGTAACTCGCATTTTCATTGGATGACACTGTCGTATTTGTTTCAAACCAATAACCAACGAGAATATTCGTATAATTTAATGAAGTAACTGTGAATCACTATAAATAATGAATTATTTGTAATTGAGCTGTAATTTCTGTATTATTAATCCGGTAGATGATGGAGATAAACAATTGTGATTGATTAAAATTTTATTTTAAGATTTTAACTTTTGTTTTCAACATTCTGAGAATTCGAGCACAAAACATCCCCCTTTAGAACTTCGTCTGTCATGTTAAGAAATGAAAGTAAATAATAAAGCGCCTTTCGTGTTTGTCCGCACTTAAAAAATTTCAATTAATGCCTGTATATATTTTTAATATATTTTTTAAATTTACATTTTATTAATTGTAAAGTGATATATTACATTTAAATGTAACTATTATTATGAATATATTATAGTCAATTATTATTATGTCAATTACAGGATTACAAGCTTGTTTTCTAACATTTTTTAAATAAAACGAATTATAAAATTTTAATATATTATGTATATTTGTCGTAGGTATGAAAAAAGTAAAATATAAAATGGACAAACGCTTACTTACATTGCAATAAAACTTCCACTTTTAGTTTTGCAATCCAAACGCAATATTTCTATTTCACAAATAAAAATATCCGACAACACTAAAATCACGGAAACTTTCGCGGCTGACAACGAAAACTAAAAAATATAACGGCACGTTTTGTTTTGGACCTGCATATCAACATTACGCTGTACTATCATGTGTTTGTTGTTGAAATAATATAAAATATCTAATTATAACTTGTAAATTTTAATATTTTAACACGATTTTAACTACTTTTGACAAAAAAAAATGGACCAATTTTGCTGATTTTTTTAGCATATTAAAGATCGTTTTTCGTAGATTGATCTAATTTTTCTAAATTTTGTATGAGATTTAGTTTTCTATGATATACAGGGTGTGAAAAAAAGGAATGTAATTTTTGTAATTTTTGTGTTTCTACCATTATGCTAAAAAACAAAATTTAACTAGAATTATAAGTTCTAGGTATAGCTAAGATCAATATCTCGGGACGTATTTGGAATTTTTACGATAACTCGTCGGGAATAAAAGATAATAAATTTTTATTCTAACTTGTATTTTTTCTACCTTTCTCAAGAGATAAGCTAACAAAACTGAAATTAACTTTAAAATTGTAGGATATTCGTTACTAATGTGAAATTAAAAAAATATGATTTAACTAACGCACTTTAATACAGGATCTTTTAAAAATACGACCAGCGAAAAAGTAAAATTATTTTTTTAATATTCTGAACAACAGCCCATAAGGTTAATATAAAAGCTCGACACGTATTTGATATTTTTGTAAAAACTCTTTTTGTGTCTAAAAATCTGTAGTTTAGCTGCAACTTAGTAGTTTTTTTTAATTTCACATTGTAAAAGTAACGAATATCCTACAATGTTAAAGTTAATTTCAGTTTTGTTAGCATATCTCTTAAGAAAGGTAGAAAAATACAAGTTAGAGTAAAAATTGATTATCTTTTATTCCAGATGAGTTATTGTAAAAATTCCAAATACGTCCCGAGATATTAGTCTTAGCTTTACCCAGGACTTATAATTCTAGTTAAATTTTGTTTTTTAGCAAAATGGCAGCAACACAAATATTACAAAAATTACATTCCTTTCTTTCACACCCTGTATATCATAGAAAACTAAATCTCATACAAAATTGAGAAAAATCAGATCAATTTACGATAACCGATCTTTAATATGCTAAAAAAATCAACAAAATTGGTCCATTTTTTTCAAAGTTACAACTCGTTGAATATGATTAAAAAAATCGCTGTGGTATTTAATTTGACGGGCAGTTTAATATATTTTTCGTCAATGACGTCTAGAAACTGACTTTGGCAAAATTATTATTCCCCAGCCATTTTTTTTCGATCACACGATACAAAATAGTTAATAACGATCTTAATCAAATTCAGATTTCATTTTAAAAATGTCCGAAACAATTTAAAGTTTAAAACTAGAAAACTAAGAACACTACCTACCAGTTGCGGTAACTATGTCGTCAACAAAACTTTCCAGAACGACATTGTTTCGCAAAGAACTTTTAATTCATCCCAAACATAAATTGTCAGCCGCCGTACACCTCACTTCGGCCTAAAAATAGTGCTGAAGTTCGTATTCGCGACCGAGGAAAATCTAAAAGAAAATTTTTCCGAGATTCCTTTTCAACATAGATAACGTTATTTCCTCGTCGGTTTTCCCGAAACAATTTTCGAAGTACTTCTTGCATATAAATTGTTTGTTTTAGCTTTTAATGGGCGAACTTTTTTATTTTCTTTAAGCGTTTTCGTTTTGTGCCTATTAAATTACGCTAATTTGTAGCTTAAAATATTTCAATTTCTTTCCATTTCTTTTTCATTTAGTTACTAACTGAAAGAACGAGGTTTATTGTTGAGCTTCGGCAATCGGTTTGATAATAATTTATTAATGTCAAAACCATAATAAACAGGTCATAATACTACATAAGTCAGAAATATAAATAAAACAAATATATATTTTACAATTTAGCCTAAAAATTAACAAAAAAAGAACATGAAATTTAAATCATCATATGCCGCAACCGCACGTGCGGCATTTGGCGATCTCCGAACTGGGCTTGGTTGGAGAAGTCGGAGTTTGGCGACTCGATCGGGGACGGAAACGAGCGCTCGCACAGTGCTTCGAACATATGGCTCTAGAGGACAAAAATGCAAAACTTCTCTTTTATTGTAGGCAATTTATTCAAACTAGGTTTATTTGACATAAATGATGAGTACTCTCATTGTACTAAATGATGATGGTCTGAGTCCCACGTTTATGAAAAAAAATCTTATAAATAATAAAAATGTTGGAGCTGTGTTCCATCTAAGGAAATAATAATTTATAGTATGAAAACGGTGTAAGTATTATTTAATACTTACACCGTTTTCATCAAACCAAACCATCCCTGTGATAAAAAAGAATTGAAATAACATTAGAACATGATTCCTACAATATAAGCCTAATATAAGATAAAAATGTTTTTCTTTAATGAAAAAGAAACATTAATGTTATATTTAATTAAAAAAAACTTAAGATACTATAAATTTACTTTAGGACAACAAAATACATATATCGTAACTACTCTGATTCAG